AGGAAGTGAAAACAAGAAACTATTGCACATCTCAATAATAATCACTCACAGCTACGTAAACTGAAGAGAGTAAACCTAACTGTTTCACACATGGACAGTGTGTAGCTGACCGACATATAGTCCTGGTGATTTATACTAATGTGACATTTTATATTTTTATATTTCTATCAGCTTCAAACTCACACATTTTTAGACATAAGAAGAAGAACAGAAAGTAATAGGCAGAGGTTCAAGTTGGAAGGAAAAGAAAGGGATTTGAAACTATAATGGTAACTCACATAATAGGATTAAAAAGTGGTTCCAAACTGGACCTGAATAATAAACCTGAAAATAAGGGCAAAATTAAAGCTAACTCTGTAAACCTGTGAAGACCTCCTCAGAGTCACCTGCAAGGACTGAAATTAAATAAGAACTTGAACGATGTGGAAAACAATGTGATCAAGGTGTGTAGAGGTCAGGTATCTACACCTAGAGGGCGCTGTGCGAGACCCCAGCCAAAAGTCCTTCGGTTTAGTTTCCTATTACAGCCTTTTCTTTCCTCACGTTCACAAAACTCATTCTCGACTTCATAAAGAACACAAATAAAAAAAGCAACATGGCGAATCAGCACAGAAGAAGGAAACCCAAACTCTCCTCTGTGATTGGACAGAAGTGCAAATGTTGTTCCGATGACAGGAAGTGAACCCTTGTACATGGCTTAAAGCTTGGGATTTGGGAGCGTGGTTATCTTCTGTGGTCAGCTGACACAGATGATGATGATGATGATGATGATGATGATGATGATGATGATAGTGATGACGAAGAGTGGGACGATAAAGAGTAGATGTGCTAGCCTCCCGCGCGGGAGGTTTTTTTTTGCATAAAATGTAAATCATCATCATCACTGTCTTATATTTTTTAAATAAGCTCCTCCCCCTCCCATTCACCCAGTTAGATTTAAAATACTTCACCATGAGCGAGAAGACCCCCCTCCCTTCATGTTTTAGCTTTTTTTTTCTATATTTCTTTTTTTTTTTTCTTCAATGCTGCTGCAGCTGTTGTTGTCGTTGTGGTTGCGTTGCAGGAGTTGGTGTGGTTGTTGCTGCTGCTGACCAGAGTGTGTTAAAATGGGAGTTTGCCTCCTTCTCCTCCTCCTCCTCCTCTTTCCCGTCCTTCCATCCAATGGGGCGCTGCAGGCTATGACCCATCCTGCTCTGTGGAGTCCTCTGGCTGCTGCTCCTCCTCCTGCTCCAGGGCTCGTGCCCGCTCCTCACTGTTCATCGTTGGGCTCCTTGATGACTTCAGCAGCTTCTCTTCAAGCTCGTGCAGCGACGGCTCCTTATACATGCAGACTGTGGAGGAGAAGAGGAGAAAAGGAGAACCACATCAGGACCAGCAGAGAGTTAGTAAAACGGACAGAAGTGTATCATTTCATTCATTGATCCTGTGTGAACTCAACAGACTTTGTTATTGGTTCTTCACAATCACTTCAAATATTTAGATTTATCAAAACAAGCTTTCAGCTTCTTTCTCACAAACTCAGTTGATCTCCTAGAATTCTTCATCGATCCCCAGCTATAAATGCCCCACAGCACTCTACTGCCACCTGTCTGTTTCACTGTGAGAGCAGTGTTCCTTGGGTTAAATGCCTCTCCCTTCCTTCTACATGTGGCCTAAAGTCTCACCTTGTGGCCATGCAAACAAACCACTGAAAACTGCATTCTTTAAAATAAAACTGAAGAAAAGGCTGAAATCTTTGGTTAAAACCTTTGGTTTGTTTTTCCGTTCATTAAAATCGTAACTGTAAAAAAATCACCATCATATTACAGTACCACTGTTGTTACTGCAGTAGGGCAGATATTGTGTAACAGTATATATACTGTATTGTATATTAGTGCCCTCTGATCTCCAGTAGGGGTGTGTATTGACAAGATTCTGGCCATACGATGCGTATCGCGACACAGGGGCAACGGTACGATATATTGGGATATAGTGTGATACTACAGGCAGGTTGATATATATGTGGTTTTTTACCTGTAGGAATTCTGTCAGCACAGTAAACACACAGTGCTGTTCCATGCTTAACATCAGGTGACTAAAGTTGGAACATTTGGAGGAAAAAAAGCAAAGTAAAATGAACTAACGCCATGAATATTTGCATGTTGCTGGTTGATAAAAAAGAGTATCAATACGATATTGTGAGATGAAATATCGCGATTTCAGTGTATCGATATTTCCTTAACCCCTAATCTACAGCATCTACAGCTTAACAAGTCATTCTGCAGCAGCTTTATTTTTTTACAAGTGTCACATCTTTACAGCTGCTTTACCAAGGCAGCTCCAGACTGGAGTGTCCTTCTGTGTGAAGCTACACTAAAATAGTAGACTGGTGAGAGCGTGGAGAAGTCTAAGGTGAAGGACGAGTTACTGAGAGCAAGAGGAGAGGGTGAAGAGAGGCAGAGGAGGTGGTATTTTTAAATGAAGGTGGGGGAGAGAGGAGGAAGGAGGGAAAGACAGAGCAGCAGAAAACAGAGCTGGAGCTTCATGTTTCCTCCATCTGTGATATTGGAGCTTCAGCTCGTCCTCACACTGAAACGAGGACGACCTTCTCCTGAGTGCCTAACAGTCCACGCCCTGTCTACCTGTCCACCTGTCCCCTTTATGCTTCTGTCCTCTACAAGACACAGACCAATCCCTGTCCTCTTTAATGGACAGCTGAGACAGAGCTCGATGTCTGACTGACGACGACCGGACCTTTGTTTCAGCTGCTTCTGATGAATTTGATCATTTTGAACAATGTTGTTATAATAAAGATGATAATTAATATATCAATAAAACAATAATCAGAACAATAAAGCTGTGAGTGTGTGTGTGTGTGTGTGTGTCACACCTTCGATGGGTCTGGGGACAAAGTGTGAGCAGGGTTTGGTTTTCTTCACGCGGTTCCCCTTCATGATGACTCCGTCCTTGTTGAGACCCAGGAACCAGGCTCGGCCTGACTCATGTTGTCGGTACAACGTTGAAGAGTAGATGACGTAGTAGTTTTCAAAGACGGACTCTTTAAACTTACACTCTGCTGTGAACACGTCCTGGAAAAACACACACACACACACACAGTATTATTGAGTGTTAAGTTCNNNTGACAGTTTGAAGCAGTGACAGACTTTTTACTTTGACAAAGGTTTTTTTGTTCATGGAAAGTGAACTGAGGAACTGTTGTGGATGTGTAAACTGCATAAAAAATTCAAGCCTGAGCAAAGTTTTGTTGAGATTTCAAATCCTCTCATCTACTTGTAGGAGTTAGCAAACAGATAAAGACATCAGCAGCTCACTCTGCCCTGATCTCTGATCTGTCTGTCTGTCTCTTATGAACGTGTCTTAAACAGTTCTGCTCTGGGACATTCATTTGTCCTGAGTCACTCATCACGACCCAGTTTTTGAACCACTCAACCTTATTTAACAAAAATAGTGCAGGGACAGACGAGGATTTTATCTTATGATTGAAAGATAAACTGTTCATGAATATATGATTTTTTTGTTGTCGAGTTCTAGTGCTGTCATTTGTTATTTGTTTTTTAGGATTTATAGATTTTTTTTACAAGTTGAAAATGAGCAAACCACTTTTATTTTTTCAAGATTCTTTTGCTGATTTGGAACAAATTTTAGCATGTGAAAACAAATCACCTTTGCCCTGGTTTTACCTTTTGGCCTGAACGGTTACTGTAAAAGTGCCTCCTGTCTGAAAGCCTTAAGTCTCCAGGCTGATTTCTCAAAAAAAAAACAGAGTCTATTTCTGTTCACTGAGGAAATAAGTTTAGACCTGAAAGTCCCAGTTTAGCCTGGTAAATCCCTCCAGGTATAACAGGTGTGTGTTCGTGTGTGTGTGTGTAAAGACAGGTGGTCCAGGAGGAGCAGTCTATTAGAGCAGAACAAACACATATTGGATGCTCTTTGAACCTACTACTTTCTTTACTTTACTCTTGTTAAAATAACAATCTGCTCTGTTCCACTACTGTACTCTGAACCACTAAAGCCTCAGTACAGGGGCAGTGGGGACTTAGTGGCGGACTTGGGTCCCGAAGGTTTCAGGTTTGAGTCCACCAGCTGCCAAGTTCCCACTGAGGTGCTCTGACACTGGCTCCGTCCCCACTCACTGCTCCCACTGTTCACTTTGGTGATGGGTTAAAAGCAGAGGTCACATTTGGCCAAATGCAGTGTTGACGAATGCACTGACAATGGCATTAATTGGAGAGTTAGTCAAACAGTGTGTCTGTCTGTGTCTAATCCAACCTGACTCTGAGAGGCAGCATCAGTGAAGTGATCACAGCTGAAGGAAACAGGAGCAGGTGAGACTGTAGTAATGCAGCTTACAGTACACACACACCTGCTGGTACAGTCTGAAGAGGAAGCGTGGCTGAACATGCTAGCAGGGTTAATGTGGAATAGTCTAGATTGTCTTATAAAATCATGATGTACATTACTAAAGCGCTACATGCTAAATGGCAATAAACACAAAACACGATACTAATTAGGGGTCCACAATAATTATCGGACAGATAGCTATCAGCCCCGATATCAGGAAATGATGAAGTCATTCCAATAACGCCGATATCATAACAAGTTGCCCCATAATATATTTATATATTTCCCCAGCACTGCAGTGTGGGTCGTTTTTTTAATCTGCCGACTGACTCACTGTGAAGTGAGTGCTGTGTTTAAGTGGCATCGCAGACCCAGATGATAACTTTGTCCGCAGAAATCAGAGTGAATCACTGTTTCCATGAGAGGTGTGACATAGAGAGATTTTACTGAGATTATAGTAGCGTTAAAAAAAGGAGCCACGACAACATGACATTTGGTGTTTCTCTACAAATGAAGACAAGTGAAATCCTGAGTGTTCACTCAGGATTTCACCTGTCATCATCTCTAATCATCTACCCATCTCTGTGCTCATCACTGAATCACTGTTTTTTTAATGTCTGATGAAAGCAGCAGACATGAATAATGGATGACAGAGCAGAGAAGCAGCTGCTCTTCACGTCTGTCCTTTCTGCTACTATTCATTAATATTTGTTTAACTGTTAACTCCTTCTCCTTTTTATTATAGGACTGGGCCCAAAACAGATCTGTGAGAAGCTGAAGGACAGGAGGAACCTGAATGTGGAACCACTCATTCATTATTCCCAAGTAGTGGCATCAATCACTACTTCCTCCTCCTTCTTCCTGTTCTCTAAGGTCGGGTTTCCTGGTTTCCTGGGACAAGGAAACATTGGAAACATGATCCTTCAAGTCCGTCTGCCGTGGTGTCCCCCCGCAGCAGGTGAAAAGTGGTGAGTCTCCTGTGGTGTGTGTGCAGGAGGATCCTGATCAGATGTTATTTGAGTGGTGGGTCACCACTGACAACACTAATGCATCAACAGTCGACTGGATCGGAGGCAGAAAAATCACGTGTTTTTTTACCTGGCAATGTTGGACACAAGAGGTTTTTATACCTTTTGAGTTCAAGTCTTATCGGAGTAACAGAGAATGTTGAGTGTGTTTGGAGAACGAGGGAGGGGCGAGAGGCACAAAGTCTTACTGATGTGTAGAGGAATCCCTCAGCATTCATGGCAACGTAGAGTCCGGCCTTCACACCCTGCATCGCCACCACCCTTAGACCCACAGGGATCAGGTTGAACAGAGCTGGAGGGCAAGAGACAAAAGGAAACATTGAGAGAGAGGGAGAGAGAGAGAGACAAAGAATATTGTTTTCTCTCGTTTCTTTTTCTTTGTCAAGTTTTTCAGGAGAGGTTAAGACTGCAGAAAGACAGGACCTAGTAAATGAATACACCTGCCTAACAGTTTTAAACAGGCTTTTATATTGTTGTTGTTTTTAGTCAAACCAAATGAAGCACTTTGGTTTGTTCACTCTGTTGTGAATGAACACGTGAAGGTCTGGAGCTGAGACTCACTGTTGTCACTGTTTTCATCCTTGTTTCCACCGATGGTTCCATCAGGCTGCATCTGCAGGAAGAAGCCCTGCTCACTGAAGAGACGCGTGACGATGCCTTTCAGCTGCGGCTCTGCAGCAGCTCTGCAGCATGCACGCACACACACACACACACACACACACACACAGAGTCAGTTCACGATCCATCACCACTCTAAAGTCACATTTATTATTCAGGTTAAGGATTTTAACTTGTGTTCCTGCAGCATCTCTTCACAGGACACAGTACTTTAGAGACTCTTCCTCCAGGTCACTCCAGTACTGATGCTCCACAACTGAACGGTACATATGACGGAGAAGTCAAAAGTCAGGAATTAGACTTTCAAGGGGAAACATTCCCTCAGTAATGAGGCGTACAAGTACAGTATAAAGGTACACGACTGTACACAGGAGGATCTTCAATCAAAGTCAGTGAAGTAGATATTAAAGTAAAACCTTTGTGCAGTATCACATGGTCCGCTATGGAGTCCAAGAACAGATTGCTGTGTAGACATTTTGAATTTATAGCAAAGGTTCCCAACCTTTGGAACCTGGACCACTACTGGATCATGGATCCTTTAGAGCTGGTCCAGAGAGAAAATACAGAAGACTGTATACACAATACAGAGTACACACGCTACAAATAAGACATATATTTTTACTTTACTGTGGTCATCAGATGTTTTATTTTGGAAAGAATTTCTCCATGCAGTAAAGACTCTTCACATGTGTCCAGAGGGAGTGCTCCTTTAGACACAGGTAAAGAGGTTTTACTGCATACTTTGCAGCACCTGAGCCACATAAAACCGGTCTGTGTTGCGGAGACATTGACTTCTGGTTGACATGACTACGTCAGTATAACAATGACCACCTCCCCCAATAACATACATTATGATGAGACCCCCAGGAGCTCCTATCAACTGTTCCAGAGGAACGACACCAAACCACTGGTTCAGACCTGTGGACGGTGTGTGAGTTAAATTAAGAAGCAGGAGGTGGGAGCTGGTACAGAACACAGCAACACAGTGGACAAAAATATCAAAATTCATGGGGGAAGCTTTGAAAAACAACAGCCTGGCATTTCTGGACTGTGCAGTTCACAGTGACAGGACAGGAGCACAGAGGAGTGAAAGCCAGCCTACACACACACACACACACACACACACACAGCAGTGTTTTCTTCCTCATTTACACCATCAAATATTCAACAACCCTCTTACTCCTGTTTTTTTTTTCTCAAACAGAACCTGGTTGACCCAGAGACAGCAGCACAGAGGACACAGCAGAGCCTGGAGTCTACCACTGACTAACAACAACCTCAGTAACTGACACATCACTGTCACCTCTTCATCATGTGAACAAACCTGGTTTTCGGCGAACAGGTTTTTTTTTCTTGCCGCTGCAAAATCGCACTTTACTGAAGACGCTGAAGATGTGTCTCTCACACAGAGACCTGGGGTCTTTGCTGGGACTGGAACGTCTTTTGTTGGAAGCGACTTTGTCGTTGTTCTGCTCGCGGGCCTGACGTTTCTGTCGGATCAGGGAGCTGGCGATGGCCGCCGCCATCTCCCTGAGAGGACGTCAAAGGTTCAGTCCCAAACAGGAGACATGGTGGAATTCAGTTCATGTCCAAGTCCAACTGGAACCTTTTGAGGGTCAGGTAAGGTTTTCATGATGTAAGTGTAGAAATGTGATCCAACTGAGTCACAACACAGGAGACGGTTGTAGGAGCACAGCCCCACTCAGAACCTGACCACTGCAGCTCTTTTTTTTTTACATTGAAAAATGAAAATAAAAAGAAGCAATGTCTTCAAAAGCTAACGTCCTCTGCTATGTTTGTGGACATCACTTCTGAATCTTAGGACAACGAAAGATTAGAGTTTGTTCAGATGAGTCAAAGACACACGAGAGTTCACCTTCAGCTGGTTTCCTCATGGTCCAAAGATGTGGAGAGGTTTCACACTCTACTATAAAAATAAATAAATAAATGTCCACATGTCCATGAGAAAAAAACAAGTCAGAGTGAATGTGAATTTGTGAAGTTAATACCTGGTTAAATGAACAATGTCAGGAAGTATCAAAAACTGCTGTCAGAAAAAAAGAGTCCAGGCTCCTACAGGAGAACCAACAGATGGAAGAAGAACAGCTGCAGGTCCATGATGATCCTGATTAGAAAATGTGATGCTGCCACGTCTGCACACATCACAACTTTAAGAAGAAGAAGAATGAAAAAAACGAGGCGAAGCGTGACAGAGCCAGCAGAGATGAGAGAACTGCTCTACTTAACTCCTCTCTGAGCCTCCTCCTCCTCCTCCTCGTTCTCCTCATTCCCACAGCCTGGGAGCTGCTGAATGTGACGAGGAGCTCACACAGAATCAGAATGGTGTGTGTGCGTGTGTCTATGTGTGTATCTGTGGTTTTCAGAGACAGACAGAGAAAGAGAGAGAGAGAGAGAGAGAGAGAGAGAGAGAGAGTATGAGACCAGGAGAGAGAACTAGAGGGTGAGAGGGAATGACAGAAAAACAGGAGGTGGAGGTGTAGGAGAAGATCCTATAAATACGCAGCCACATGTTTCATGATGCACCCACATCAGTCGCTGTGTAAACCTGGAACACTGGAAACCATCACTGCTTACAGTCTGAGTACAGGACATGAGAAATCTTTGAGATTTTAATGATGATGTCATAGGTGACAGCTGACACAAGAGAGGAAGAGTCCTGAACCTGAATCTTCCTCTTTCTTCTCAGAGTCCAGGTTTAAAAATATCACCAGTTACTGTTGTGTACAAATCAGTAACAGTTGAGTGACCATCACCTCTGATCAGTGTGTCACTTCCTGCAGGTCTCAGCTCCATTGGTGCTGATTGGTTAAAAACTGTTGATCCTGTCCTCGTCTTCTTCTTCTCTGTTCTGCTCATCTTCTCAGGTTTTAGCCACCGTGGAACATCTGACTCTTCTTCTCGCTTGCTCTACTGTTGTATGGTCTTCAACCAACAGTTCCTCATTTTCCTCCTGTGTTACGTTGGTCACAAACACCAGCTGTGATTGGTGTTTCATCTAGGCTCCACCCCCTCTGGTATGGCAGCTATTTCTCTGAACTGTATATTTGTTTTGGTCAGATGTTCTTCCTGACACTAGCCTCCTCAATGAGGATGACCTGCGGGAGACACAGAGTACGCCCCCCAGTGGCTTGATTTACACCTGTTTCCTATTCACACATGTCAGAAAACTAAGTTTCCCACAGTGCCATTGTCAGACACCATATAGTGTGTGTGTGTGTGTTGTGCGGTGGGGGGTGAATTTGTACAGGTCAGCAGGGGTCACAGGGTCACCTACAATACTGTTTCACAACATTAAAAACAAATTTAATACCCACAACCAAAAACCAAGGAGGCTTTTTGACACAGACATACTTGAAGGGTGTTAAGTCTCTTCCCCAATCATACAGTAGTCATCATATCAAGTACATCTGCTGCGTGAAGTTCTGTGACATACAGTAGCAGACACTCTTACCATTGTAGCTGTGCCCACATGAACAGTGTCTCTTGTTGACTTTGGGGATTGGGTGTGAAAACATTTCTATCCACAAGGGGGGGCATGACAGAAAATAATTGGGAACCACTGCACTACACAAAGTATACTCAATATTCAGTTGCTGTATAACCAACAAAACACAGAGCATAAATAATAATGTATCTATGACACAGTTTTTTGAGGCAGATTTAAAGAATCTGAAAATATAAATAGGGACAGAGCCTTGGACTGGTTCTCTGGTAGAAACAGAACTGGTTTGGTTTCATATGTGACGTTGAACCACATCAACATTACATGGTCACTGATTCATTCAGCCTCTCCACAAAGACACTGGTGCATCACTGCATCACAGTTTAAACCTGAAATAAAAGAAGAAACTGAAGAGTGGGAGGATGAGAAGGATCAAAACCAAAACAAAGACTGTGAGAGTGTGTGTGTTTATGTCAGTGTGTGAAGGTTACACACACGCATAATGAATTTGGAAAGACGTCACTCTGTAGGAGAGGAGAGGAGGGGAGAGGAGAGGAGAGCTGTCTCCATATGTGACCTGAGGCACTGTTCACGATGAAACTTTACCCTCGACCCAAAACTGCTGTGATTGGCTCTAGCTCCTCCCCCAACCTTGAATATGTTTAATTGGTGAAGATAAATGAATTAATTGATAAAAATCAACAATGATTTCCATTGTATATTAATGAAAATTATTTTTATAATTATTATCAAAGTTTAAACATTGTTGTTGTTATTTTTTATTATATGAACCTTACTGTTTAAATTACTTTTTTTTTCTTATTCAATACATTATGACCACAAAGTTGTTTTCACTCTTTCTGTAACTGGGTTCGATTGAGTTCTGCCAATCATCAGCAGTCACTAAACTCTGTAACCGAACACAAGGGAAACACCACCACCTACTGGACACTGGGATAACTTCAACAATCAAAAGTGTTTCATACTGCGGTAATACTGCTGCTTATGACTCCGAGTAAAAGTCAAAATATATAAAATAACGTGACAATTACTTATATTTACCAAATAAAAATTAACTTTCTCTAAATTTAATATCCCAATCTCCGAGTGTCTGTACATGAAGGTAAGTGTAAACACTGTGTATTTACGTGTTTGTCTTAAATGTTTGATGATGGAGAGCTTATTCAGCTCTTTCTATTTATTCTCATGCCAAATTCATGATTCAGGGAAACAAGAAAAAGCTAAGGGGCGACACACAGATAGACGCACGCACACTTTCACATACACAAGCACACTCCATGTCTCTGATTGGTAGATTAATGGAATACTGGAAAGTTTCGAGTTACGATCAGAAGAGGGCGACAAAGACACGTAGAAGCAGTATAACTCAGCAGGACTTCCTCAGGTTGTCTTTTTAAAAGGAAGTATCTGATTAGATACACACTAATAAAACACATCTGAGGGAGATGATGCTCACACTTAAAAAAAAAAGCATATTATAGACCACATGTGTCAAACTCAGGCCTGGTGAACAAATCTGGCTCGCAGTGTAATTGTATTTGGCCCGTGAGATCATATCAAATGTGTACTA